TTGAAATAACAATTAGTGTTTACAACACAGACGTGGATAAAGAAACGTCAAACATACCTCTAGTAAGTGATAATGACACATTACTTGAAAGAGAAATGCAATGTGTGTACGGTGAAGATTGACGAGTGGTATCTGAACCACGACCCAGAAAGGTCGCTTTCTTGTATGAGAACATAAGCCAGTTTATTATGAACACACTCATAAATTTTAATACCTGCATTTTCAAACAAGTTTCAAGCTTCCGAATAGATAAAATCACAAAATAGCAGTTTTTATGTAATGCATTATGAAATGTCCTAGATTGGAGGATGTTGTGATGATCGAGTATTGTTTTATCTCAGTTTTTATCAGTTTTATAATCTTTTAGATGGGAATTTTCCATCAGACTGGTGAGTTAACATTCCATACTTATTTCTTACCTCACAATGCCGTGGGACTAGTAAAGTTTTACAATTCTATCAGACAAGAAATGAAGTCGTCAGTAATAAAGTCTCAATCGTGCCATTGAACCGAAGATCACAGAATTGTTCATTCGTCCGTATCGGAACGAAATCGTGGAACGAAATGGAGAGACATTTCATTGGCTATCGAACATTTTCTTCCCGGATAACAACGTTGTCGTTATGAACACTAAACATACCTATTTATTAATACCGACTGAAATATCATGTTAACTACAAAAGTTGAAATAAAAATAGAAAAATATACTTTGAAGATGATGAAGACGATAAAACAATGAACATAATAGTCTAAAACCGTAAAAATTGGCTTTTTAATAAACGCAAAGAGTCTCACGTTTGTAATGTAAGATACTTTCTCTCAGTAAACTTTAGAACCTGTTTGCAAATAATAAATGCATTACTACTGCCGACTGTTTCAGAGTATAGTTGCAGACTCGAGTGCGCTTCATGAGACTTTAACGTCTGAGTGTAATAATATCTGCAGAACTATCTTTATTAGAGACTAACTGTATTCACTCAAATAACTGATGCTTTCATAGCCTTTTGTTTCTTTTAGACTTTCGTTGTAGAAACTACCGCTTATCTCTTAGTAAAACGTAATGAAACCTCGATATAAATATGCCAGACAGTTTGTACAGTCATGTGCTGAAAGAAGCGAGTAAAAAGAGATGCATTAAAACATGCACTCTGTCGGTAGACGAAGTTAATTGCTGATATAATGCACCAAGCGCTGGGAAGGGCACGTCCCCAGTAGGTGCGTCGCTAGCGGCACCGAGGCGCCGAGACATTCATTACTTGAATTGTTCTAATGAATAATAGGTACAACTGAGAATATACCAAGCTAGGTAAACACCGCGACTCGATCGTTGCAAAAACTTGCGTCAATTGTAAAGATCATATTACTGATGTTGAGTCAGCTACCCAATATTATTACGTTGTAAAAGACAATGGTGCAGACGCGGCGATGAGGAAACTCATGAATTAATCACTAAACCGAGACATAACAATACATTACAATAGTTGACTGAAAAATCATAAATATTTGATTTGACTTCTGAAGTTAAATTTCAAGGTCTCGGACCGTTAAAGACAGACGCCATCTTGCATTAACGAGCAAAGAACCTGATACACACATACACAACGATTGTAATGTTTACCATGAGAAAATATGCACGAATGAGTTTTATGTGACCGACACGAAGCAAATAATTACAGCATCGAAATTCACATGGTCGAGGAAGGAACAAAGTCAAAACCTTGAGTTGCAAACACTTGTGCAAATAGTTATCGGATCCACCTTATTGGTCAGCAATGACGCAGATGTACATACTCATTGTACGAAAGAGGGAACGGCTTCAATGTGTATAGGTACCATTGTTAAAATCGTCACATTCATACGATGATTGTTTTTAATATAGTTTACACTTCGTCTAACTGTGCATAAAGATATAAAAAGGTTTATTTTTCCTGTAGGTATCTATAGAATTCTTATTAATCACCGAATAAACATTTTATTTCCAGTGTTTGCCACAAAAACAACGCCACTGCTGAACTTTGGTTAGCGTCATTGTTTTTATCGTTTTACTCTGCAAATCTTTGGCGCCTAATTTGGGTGTAGGACGACAGCATTCCATACCATATGGTGGGCCAGCGTTGATTAATGAGTCATTTTAATTCGTTACATCTTGAGGACACAAGATTACTATTAAAAATACTATAGTAACAGATGATTTTTGGAGGCTTATTACATTTAAATAACTTGAGGCCTTCCAGTCATTAAGCAATAACAAAAAAGTAATTATGGCATAAGTAGGTATGTGTAGAAAGAAACATACAAGCAAGTACTGTTCAGATATTCACAAGGTTCTCTTTGCTTCAGTTACATAAACAAGAGACATTGTATCGTTAGGTAAATAGTTAGCCCGTGTGAATAACAACGAGTTTCGTTTTGAGAAAGTTTTGCAATTATTTTTTCGGTCCCACGAACTTTGATAGCTAGATTACCAAATTAGTTATGCTGAAGATGCGCAGTGAATTATTAACACTTTCTTCAAAATCTTAGTAACCTTCTTTCTATAGGAGTTGGGTAAAAGGAAAACAATCCATTTTTGTATATGTTGTGTTTGTATGTCCGATATTATATCATCATACGTGCTGTATCTTATCGTCACTAATTTAGACGGCCTCGCTTGATAAACTTGAAACTCAACAATCGTTCAAAGATTTTCAATTTAATCATAGATATTAAGATTCAATGTTTTCGAAACGAAACGAATTATCTTCTAAATCCAAAGTAGGAGAGCAATCAAAGTTTATAATGTCCGATATCTGTCTAGCTGTCAATCAACTTTCGGATTGTACTGTTCGATTATTTTAATGTTTTCTATGTCGATCGGAATGACGAACCATTTCTTTTTAATTTGTTGAATGGCGCCATTCGGATTTCATCTTTAGACTAGGCACTTCCTAGATGGAATTTTTTGTTGCAATCTTTTTCCTATCTTCCAAAGAACCTCCTTATTTTTTACCTGTAAGACTTAGCTACAAGCGAATCTGTATCTAATTCTCTTTAGATTTTAATATAACTTCCGTATCGCCTTTACGTCAGAAAACAAATGGAATGTTTCGTCTCGTCTCCTGTTCAATTGTTCATCTTTTGTTTAAAGATCATAGTCAATATCTCTCTTGAGCGTAACATCAGTTGTTATTGAGAAAACAAGTTGTTCAAACAGATGCAGCCTTGCGCCTACATTACATATTTTTGTCTCAGTGGCAAGAATACAGGTACTTATCATTAATTTTTTAACTATGCATACTGTGGGATTAATTTTGTAAGTACTACCATAACAGAATTATATCCATAATTGTGACTTGACAATTGAAGTTGTTTTTTGGAATATTTTTTTTTTCGTTTTATATTTCCCAACCAAATCGAATAAATAAGACGTTAGGTATTACGACGATTTCATTAGAACTGGAGTTGTAAAAACAAGAAATTATTCCAAATTACCCACTGGTCACTCAAGGCATGGATAAATTGGCGACTAGTTGCTACATGCCATCGTGTCTGCAGACTAAACTCTCCAAGGAGTTTGCGAAACCCACAAGGAATGTCGTGAACATCCGCTGCTTTGGAGGTCTGGCATTTCAAAATGTCGAAGTCATTAATGCTGAGCCTCTAATAAAATGAAAAGGCAAAGACATCTTACTTTAACTGCTCTCATTAAACAGCTCAGAGAATGAAAAAAACATATTGACCTTGGAGAATAAGTCACTGATAAATTTACCTCAATAATATATTGTTCACCTGGTCGTCGCATAATGGAAATGATAATTCAAACATTCTAGTTTAAATCGTGCATAAAATATGTAATGGGAAGAGAAACATTTATGTAACGTAGATGTAACACAGTTTATGCAAATTTTATCGCTTATTTACAATTGTTATTTGCTATAAAACAAGGTAAATAGCATTCATCATTCAAAACCTATTAAATCTCAGGTAGAACTAGGCATACCGATAACTTATCCGACTTCTCAGAACTTTTGTGGAATCCTACCCACTATCGCTTAACCTAAATCCACTAAGTGCCTCATTAAAATACTAATTAGACGCCGGTGTAGGACAGTTTAGAAGCTGATTGTAAATCAAAACATGTTTCAAGTAAAGGGCTGCAACGATCATAATTTAGAACAACTTCGAAAGAGAAAAAGAAAGTATAAGCGGTTTCTATTGAAGGTACAGCGCCTGTCAGTCATGTCATCAGTGGATCAGTGGCCGATTGTCCATTACGAGAAAGCGGGAGCAATAAGACACTCGGTTGAATAAGTTCAATTTTTGTTAGCTGCATACAGCCGACGTAGATGATGATCAAAAACACTTATGCACTAAACTAATTCCAATCTTTAATTCAACACATCACAGAAGCACAGTAATAACCACCATGATAAAACTGGTAAAAAGTTCGTTTTGTTTGTCACAACACAAAAAAAAACTTCGATAAAAAGCACCCGGCCAGCGGGACGACATCCGTGGCCCGTCGCACCAAACAAACTTGCCTGTTGAGCTACTTGCCGTGCCGTGCTCAAACAACCGGCCAACCGTTCTTCCATTTCTTTCTATAACCCAAACAAATTAAAAACATGCGCTACACTCTGAACCGACCGGTGTCGAACTATCACCCAACATTGATCACGTAACACGTCGCTGAATACATTCCGCACGTGTGAAGAAAACAGCCATAATACTTCTTATCCTTTCTTTCACTGGCAATATGAAATAGGAAGGGTTACGCTAGAGAGAGATAGATATAACGACTAAAAAGATATTTAATCACGTGCATGAATCAACTAGAGACGTCAAAGTGTTTTGTTGGAATTTTACCTTTACACCTTTACGTTAGGGTTGTTTTTCGAACGTAGGTTATACTGGTGTTTCAAATGGCGCGAAAATTCAAAGAGAACTTATTCGATCAGTAATATTTATTTTTCGAATGTGTCGTTGTTTCGAATTTCATATGAAAGGAATTTAGGACTTACCTTACTGGCGAAGGAGGAACTCTTCGTTGGGCGACTTTGTCGTTAGGATTTGTCCAAACATCATTATTATTTATATTTTTAGTTAGTTTTAAGTTTTTATCGGTTTTAGGTCTCAGGGTCGGCGGTAAGATGCTGTCGGGAAGCTTCGGTGCCGGTGTCTTTGCTGATTTTTTCACAATTTGCAGAATGACATTGGAACTCTTTGCGTCTGCCTTTTTTGCATTCTCTTTGGTGGGCTTAAGTCCACCGGGATCGGGGGTCGTTGGAGTTGCAGGTTTACTCCTGTGTGGTCGTTCAGGTTCGACAGGTAATTTATCGATTTGCAAACCTGCCGACTTGGTTCGATCTACGGTTCTTTTTAACTTTAACTTATTAGTTGAATCCGCTAACGGTACTAAACAGAAAATAAAAATCATCTAACATTTATTTTTTAGGCTTATCTTCATTAAACAAGATCTTGATTTATTATTACCTGTCCTAGGCCTGTTTCTAGTTACAGGCTTAGTCTCCGCGCTGCCTATTTTGATAGTTTTCTCGACTGTACTTGAAGACGAAGGCGCTACCGCCTTGCTCCGATAGCTAAAAGTAGTCTTAAAGAAATTAGCCGTAAAGTTCTTGGTACGCGATACGTGGGTCGGTGTTGAGTGTGAATGTCTGTAAAAAATACAAAAAGTAAAAACAAAAAGGAATTTAGTAAGGGGACACCCGGGTTTGAACCGGGGACCTCTCGATCTGCAGTCGAATGCTCTACCACTGAGCTATATCCCCGCTGACAATGATGTCGAAAGTAGCGTGCTCTATCGAACACACAGCGCCCTCTACGATAAAGTTTATGTATTTTTATACTGACTAGTTCAACATTGTGCTACAAGATGGCGCTAGTAGTCGAATGACAAAAACACTTCGCAAGCTGTACATTAGCGATACTGGGGAAGTAATTAGCCCAAATCCACGTAGATAAAGTGGTATAAAAACAATGAGATTATGAACTCACTCGAGTTTTATGTTACTAGGCACCCCGGGCGCCTTCTGCTGCATAACCTCCTCGATCTGAAACAACACAGACAATATTCTAAGAAAACATATTATTTAAATAGTTCGCCTACAAAGTAACCGTATCTTATATATGTAACAATCAGACAAAGATAAAAACAATAATAGAGAAGATAATTTAAACAAATACTTGAATTCATGGCATAGATACGCAAACATGGCATGTTATTGTTCTTTCTAGAATTAATCTATATCTAGGCATAGTTTATGTAGCTAAATAAATATCGAAGATTTTTATCAAAACGCGCACGTAAGACTCGATAACTAAGACAAACTTAATTTTACAATATGTTGAAACAATATGTTCCCAAAATGTCAAAATATATTCCAGTTGGAGACTCACACTTTTCCATTTCTTCATCGCAAACAATATACGTGTGTTGATCCTTAAAATTACTTGCAACTACTGCATATTAATAATATTCTTATCTCTAAACATTTATTATCTAGCAAGATAGTTGATTGATTGGATTACCATTATAAACTTATATTCCCGCGTCCTGTGATAGTTTGAAATCATACTTCCTTTAATCATTTTAATAAACTAATTATTCACGATCGTTTATTGAGAAAATCTCCGCTTTTTACTTGGAAAACAAATCAAGCAAATTCTTTTGACAAAGACTGTCTGATATTTGAAAATGTCGAGCTACGACAAACAATTTACTTTTTTTTATTACCGGCCAGTGTTTGTCTTTTCTTATTGTTTAAAAAGGAGGTTATATTTATTTTTTGGGATGTTGAACCTTCTTTGAGTTATTAACCTAATTAATTCTGAAATACATTACATTTAATACATTATTTATAAACAATAGGACTGCATGCAGACTAAATTATCCATAATGCAGACTTACAGACATTCCTAAAATAGTTGACCGTTTACGCGATTTAAGCCTGTAATTAATTATTTAAATAAAAGATTAGATAGCTATTCTTTATTGCCCTTATTTTAATAATTACGTAGCTAAGTAGCTACATATTATGCACTTGCTTTATATTTGTTGGCAATTTAGCCTTGAGTATGAAGTTCCGATTTTTTGACGATTTTCAGGAAAAGAAACTATTATCACCGGCAATTCTGGAAGTTATTGAAGGATGCGTATGTTCAGCAGTGGACGTTTTATGGCTGAATGATGATGAAGCACATCGTGGTGCGAAAAGCATATTAACATTACTACAATACTGCTATCACCGTTTTTTTTAAGGAGAGAAAATCATCGAATGACTGCTCCCGCCTGGGTGAGGCGGGAGGGAGTGTCAGACTCTTACTGACTCTTACTGACTAAAACCATCCCGTTCCTACTCCTGCACTTCGAGCCGGAGCCCCAGTTTTCCGTTTATGATAATTATAACAATCCTTCCATGTCGGTTCCAGCTGCGAAGACCGTTTTTTGACTACTGATGGGCTCTCATGTGAATCAAATACTCTTCCACAGAAAGGACATAATTATGAAAACACTATTCGTGATAACTAAATCCGATTCAAAAACCAAATTACATAAATATATAATACGTATAAACTCAATGTTTCCAATATTTAAAAGTTATATTTGTTGATTCCCACGGCTGACCTCAATGGTGATTTGCAGCCAACACCCAAGCAGGTAATCGTATTAACAATTAGCCTGTCCACAGAACACCTACCCACTTATTAAATGACACTACAATTTTCGAGGTGTGCGCGCGAATTTGCAATATGAGTGTGGTGTAATTTTATTGTAACTAATGCAAATTACTGTTTAATATCTATGATTTTGAACTTAGCTTTGGTTTTTAATTGTATTTTACGGTTAAGTCAATTGATTTCTGATTGGCAGTGTTAAGCAGGGAAGGCAAATTACTAAGGAATTTACCTTGTTATTGAATAATTTTAGTTTTTATTGGTATCAGATCTATCGGCAATGTTAGACAATATTCATTTATAACCTCATGCCTGTCTCCCACGAGGACAGGCAGAGACGCCATGGAACGCCATCGTATCATTAGCATGACATCTTTCGCTTCATCAACAGTCATCAGACATTTTATGCATGCTCGTTGGTTAAGGGTACTTCTAATTTGGCGTTAAACAACAATCAGTTTGAATGAATTACTTAGTAAGAAATATACCAGTGGATCTGAAAGCCTTGGGGGGTAGTGAGTGGACGTCTTGTGTCTGATATGGTGATAGTATTATTACTATCACCCTTTTCTTTATCATTAAAGGGATGAAATGAGTGTATCGCAAAAATTAGGGCTACCAAAATTCCTTCTGTCTCATCTAAATAATATATTTATTCTATAGGTATTTATATGTGTAGTATATACATATTACATAACAATTTTTTAATAGTGTTCTGGCTTCGCATCAACCAATTTATTTCTCTGCACTTCCCTATGGTTGACTGTAAGAGAATGCCTTAAGGCATTAAGTCCGCCACTCACTGTTATGTTTTGTAAAGAAGAAATAAATAAATAAATAATTCAAGCAAGCAACAACCTATAATTCTGCATTGAAACTGATTTCCAATATTTTCTTCCGACTAGCAAACATCAACCTAATCTAAGTAATTTATATGAAGCCTTACTACTTCAGAGGGTTTTCCACCAAGCTAGTTAGATATGACGTCATATAAAACATCCGCAACATCAGACAGACATGAGACATCATACATCTATCTTTGTCTTTCCACTTTTATCTCCTTCCCTCCTTCGATTTACTGCGCAATCTCCTACATTTCGCGCTTCCAAGAACATTACAACTTTTAGCATCAAGTTACACAAAACCAATCTATAGTGATCTCTCTTTATAAGATCTTTCTGCACATTCAAGGATAACTTTATACTGGTTTTGTATAGATTGATGTGTAGCCACTGTTATTGCGACACGGTTAGGTTGTAACGTCCGTTGTCTAGATCGAGATATAGGTAGGACTATAATCGTCACTCACCTATTACATTTACGGAAGGAGATAACATGCTGTTACGTCTAACTAGTTTCTGCTTTTAGGAAAACACGGGTGTGAAATAGAAGTAAGGGGTAATTTTGCTTGGATTTATTTGAAGACGTAAGCTATAGATACCGCGTGGAAAGTAGAATAGAATGCATTTGTCATCCCATAGCTATCTTTGCACGGGTGTTATGACAGCCTATAAAAGGACTATTACACATTTGGCAAAGACCGGACAGCTACAGTCTCCAATAAAATTTTATAAACTGCGATGTCCAACGAAAAGTATTGGAGCCTCTTACGCTGAGGAGGTCCATATTCCAGTAGTAGACTGTCTCAGATATAGATTAAAAGGCTGGACAAACAAGTTAACTCGCATAAAACGCCTCAAAGTCTATAACTTGCACCAAACAGACTGCAACCTACACTACACCCTTCTGTTTTCGCACAAAAACGTCCTGGCAGTCAATGAACCCTTTCGCAATGATATCATTTCAAGATCAATTAAATTATTAAAGATATATCTTCACACGTGGGTGTTTGATGGACATCTGAAAGAGTTATGTGGGCGATTTGATCAGAGAAGGGACGCTTTTGTTGATGCTATAAAGCCAGCAAAGATGCTGACCGTTTTGGGATACTTGATACCTTTATGAAGTTCTTAATGAAAAGAGATAGAAGTCTTTGATCATGACGAGATCCCTTAATTCTGTTTGTTTTAGAGCCGATTTTTCAACCATCAGTTCTTAACTGTAGAACAAAAATGACAGTTTTTAGTATGGAAGAATCGGATAGTTGCCAACTATTCAAATTCAATACTTTGTTCGAACTGTCAAAAACTAAAGTTTTCTATGAATTTTGTATGTAATTGTGTATTGTGACGTCACTATTTTTTAGAGTCAAACTTCATACTTATTCGTTAAAAAATTGTTGAAAATGTACTAAAATTAAGTTGGTCATAAAATCAATTCATGGAAGTGTGGGTATTTTTTAACATTTTATTGTATTGAACAGTCGAAATAATTTATTTTTGATTAAGACAAGAACCCAATTGACAAATATTCAAAGTTATTCCACAGTTGAATTTTCATTTGGCATTCGATAAATCAGTCCTAAGTCAAAGGTCCTAAATCAAAGCCTATTGGCTTTTACAGAGCATTAGATGCTAATTATGATCACTGTTCTTACTTACTTACTTTACTTACACGGAAATTAGACTAAAAGTCTAGAGAATAAGATTTACTTCAACTAAAATGGCAATAGCAGAGATTTTTACACCAAAATATGCACTCGAGTATTTACACGGAATATAGATTCTATATTCCGTGAGTATTTATAGGCAAGTTTTTCATGAAGGGTTTAATTTTTCCAAACCTTTAGCTATGAAGTCAAAGTCAAAGCATTTATTTCATAGCCTTTTTCCTGGGAAGATTAAAAAAAATCCGCTAGGGGCAGCACCGGTGGGGGGTACATATGTTTTGAATTCTCTATTGACAACAACGTCAAACGTGTATTAAAATTTTTTTTATCACAATATTTATTTATTCTGATAATAATAAGACGTACGTTTGACGTTGTTGTCAATAGAGAATTCAAAACATATGTACCCCCCCACCGGTGCTGCCCCTAGCGGATTTTTTTTTTAATCTTCCCAGGAAAAAGGCTAATTAACTCATAATTTGGTACTTTTGAAACGTCAACAAATACAAAATAAATAATAGTCTGTCAGTCAGTCCGGCAGTGAAGCTAGGTGAAGCTAGGTGCTCATTCCAAAATGTAGATTCAAATGGAGAAGAACGAGCAAGAAACTCCATTCGTTACTCTTTTTAAAAAAGTATGTTCTACAATGTCTCTGACACATATTCCAATACTGTACGTTAATGACTTTCATTATTGCCACTATTCCACTGAACTCACCTCCAACGTAACCGACAGACAGCAGCCAGTTAAACTGCCTGTCTGTCTACTCCTTGGATAAACTTTAAGTTATATTTCACTTTAAAAACGAAAACAAAAACGGAAGACGTCCATATATCATGAGACACTATAGAACTA